AGAAAGAAATTTCCTTTCAAGAGAACACCGTCTATAAAATTCGTGAACTTTTCTGATACTTTCAAACTGCCACATTCTTTTCGATGTTACTGCAGTGGCGGACCCAGTCTAAAATAACATTTTTTGCTCTTCTAGCCTCGTGCTGGTCTAAAAATAGTGGCCCGGGCCCCTCCCCTCGATCCCCCACTGTACTCTCTAGGTTGGGTCCTGCGGTATACAATATCACTTGTCGTAAAACTTAACGAAGACTTAAATTTCCTTTTATGCTGTGCTATTGATGTTGGAGAGAGGCTGAGTGTGAACCTTTTTACGTCACGGTTTTGAGTACAAGGTCACGAATGTACAAGATGATTAATTCTTAAGTCATAACAACAAATTCACTAATAATAAAGAATAACAATGAATGATAAAAGAGGGTCAATAACGAGATTCTAGTCAACACGCGCAATGAAAAGCATTTCCAATAACAAAAAGGAGTTTAGGAAATGTGTGTTACAAGGTTTACTGAGCCTAAGAACTCGCAACATTTCAATGTGAATAAAATCAATAGTGATTGAAAAATGGTTTTTATAAAAATAGAGAAGAAAGCTTTGTAACGAGCTCTAATGTTTGACTAGTTGTTGTCGAAGAGGAAGCACAACGTTCAACAGACTATTCATTTCTACCACCAATTATCATCCTCGGGTCTTATTCTTTTCTGAAGCCACCCTTCTTGGTGTATGAAGGTTTTACTTAAATTAATATTTAGCTTACAGAAAACTAAACACCGGTGGTGAATAGGATCCTACGTCCCCGTTATATGGGGATAAAAAGAACATACATGTACCAAAGCAACAAATAAACTGAAATATGAACTTTTAAAGAATAATAATTACAATGAATAGTAGAAGAGAGTCAAAAACGAGATTCTACAAACCACGCACAACGAAAAGCCTTTCCCAATATTATGAGAGAGGTTAATGATAATGATTGTCAATGAAGTTTTATCTAAAAATCCCCTGCTCTTAAAAAACAGAATCTAGTCGAAAAATGGTTGTTTAGAAAATAGAGAAGACGCCTCTGTAAGGAGCTTGGACGTGCGAGTAGTTGTTGTCTAAGGAGAAACGACGTTCAAAATTTTTTTTTAAATACAAATGAATACACCATTTTTTAAAAAAAAAAAAACGATTGATATTTATTTTTCTTAATCATCTTCTTTCATTAATCACTTTTCGTCTTCCTGCAACAAGAACAACAACAAATCCGTTATCAACTTCTCTGCTGTATGATATAGTTTAAAAGGAGTTTTAGTGATCGAAGTATCTAAGTACATTGTGGAACCTCGATTTAACATGCAAAGGGACTGGGGAAATGTGTTAGTTAAGTGGAGGGTTGCTATATCGAACACCTCTATATAACGAATGTTTGGGAAATGTTACATCGTTAAGCAGAGATGAGGTTATAAGGTGTGTATGACTGTGTATATAAACACTTGGATAGTTTGTCAGACACAAGTTCACAGATCTTTGATCTCTTTCTCTATCTCTTTGGCATGTTCTAGCCATTTCTAATACTTAATCCCCTGAAGGACATGTGTGAGCAATTATTGATCAGGGGCACCCAACGACAATTTTCGGAAGAATATCTGTTAGGAAGACGATTTAAGATCTAGAATTTTAGAAACATTTGTTGTAAAATTTGTTGCTTGCCTGCCTCTCCTAGGATTTTCGAACATCCAAAAAAAGGTATATTTGCCTATTTTTAACGGATTTTTACCCTAAAAAGGTCACCTAGAATTTTCGGAAGCCTTTTTTCTGACTGAAATTTTCGAAAAGGTAAGTTTTGATCCCTATAATTTTCAGATCACTAGACTTTCAGCTAGGAAATCCGAACAGATGAAAAATTTTTAGGGGATAAAAATATGCCCATATCTACCGTTTAAATACTAAAATATGTTTAACAATGCTATGTTTAAGTGGTTTTGAACTATATTCTCGTTGGGTGCCCCTGATTGATCAAACCTTTTAATTTCTAAGGCTTAATTTCAGGCAAATAAAATGAACTGTTTGTAAAACTTTAACTTCTAATAATTAAATCTTTTGTAATGGTTTAAAATAAACTATTCTCAAAACAGAGAATGCTTTCAGATCATAGCTGTGTAAATCAAACTGAAACAGTGCATGGAACCTTTCGTTTCCTGTTTGATTCCTTTGATCATGAATTGGTATATTTCAAAGAGCTACACAATGACCAAGAATACTATTGAGCGACAATATACAGAGGGGGTGGAGCTGTATTGTCAACTATTACTAGAAAAGATTTCTTATTTGAGGGAGGTGGTTAATAGAGGGATGGCTTTTATTTGAGGAAATAAAATATTTTGTATCACCTTACAATAGAACAAGTTTTGATTTCCACTTTAAGGTCAAATCCACAGAGCTAAACTTCCAAGGTTTCCATATTTGTTATAAATGTATGGTTCAGCTACATGTAAGAAAGACTTGCCAAAAAGCTTATGAATTACTCAACTTGTTCAGATCTTAAGTGACATTTATATAACCACAAGTATTTGTTATTTTGCATTCCCTAACACACCCTGTCTGTCTGCCCCCTCCCAATATTGTTGCATAAACTTTGCTTTCAGTATCTCTTGCGGAATGCAAAATGGTGAATACTGCTCTTCAACAGATATCTTTCCATCATAATGAAACAATTCTCTTCATTGAATTCTCATTAACGAATTGTCTTAAAAGTTAAATGACTAGAACGCCCAACAGCAATGTGATCAAACATTTTAAATTAAAAGTAAAAGAGAAATAGTGAAGAATTACAACTTCTAATCAAATCTTTGCTTATACTTTAGAATAAAATATTCTCGAAACTGAGAATGGTTTGATCTGAGCTGCTTTAAAATCGCACTGAATCATTGCATGAAACTTTTTGTTTTGTGTTCTTATCTATGTATGCAATATGTGTGAAAATATCCATTATGAATCTATGTTTTTTAAAGAGCTACAGAAACAAGAAGACTATTGACCGACCATGATACATACAGAGCGGGGGCAGCTGTAGTGCCAACTATTGACAGATAAAGTATGAAGGAGTGCTGCCATATATTTATTTGTTATGGTCTACGGTTCAAGGTTGCTTTTTGACTTCCATAAATGGAAATCAGCTCATCCTCCGTGTAAGAACCTGTTAAACTCACAAGTGACGTAAAACGGAGGAAACAAAGAAGTCAGCCCAATAGAACGCAGAAAAACAAAAGGTGGGAAACAAAGAAAAAGTTCACAGGTTCTTACACCGAGGTAAACCCTGGAAATCGACAGATTAGACGCCTTACACTACTACATGAAAAATTACTGCAATTTGATTGGCTTAGAGCAGTGGTATTTCAGCTTAATTTTAAATAGGTAGTAGAATAAACAAATAATAGCATGATTTGTACGTGATATTTGGCATAAATACCACCCGTGATATTTCAAAATTGTCTCAAATTTGAAATTACGCATAACAATTTCGAAATATCACTCGTGGTATTTATGCCAAATATCACTACAAATCATGCTAGTACAAAAACAAAGCTCTTCATGTCATATGTCGTGGTAGCTTGCCCTCGATCATGGAAAAAAGAACATGTTCCCTTTTTAACGATGATCAACTCAGTAGTATAATAAATATGTTAGCTTCCTCGTGAATTAAACGCTTTTTTCATTCCAGAAAATCTGAGGAAGTATTAAAAAGTTGAACTAGAAATCATATGAGCTTACCCCTAATACGTGAAAAGGTGAAAAGGGCTGCCATAACAGAAAACAAACAGAAAGATCTTACCAAATCTTCATTTACTTTGCTGGTTGATGAAGAAGCACCTTCTTTACTCTTTGTTATTTTTCTCTCCCCGTTATCTATAAAATCTCTCTTTGCGGGAGAACGTTTTGGCATGGTACAACAGCACCTACAACGCGACGGTTGACAACTGACAAGCGATCGACGAAGCGAGCAGCAAACAACCCAGCGAGTACGTCATGTAAGGTCACCTATTGACCAATAAAAACGCAGGCTCGAGTATTTGAGGGTCATTTTTTGGCTCTCTATTACAATCTTCCCCATGGTAAAGTACCCCCTTTTTGAACGCTTTTATAGCTCAAATATTAGAAACTGCAGCTATTTCAAAGTATATTGTAGGGAAGTTAATGCCTATCTATTAAAATCACTTGTAAATAGTTGGTAAATTGTAAATAGGGTTGTATTACTATTACTAATCTTTATAACATTTTTTATTTTTTATACAATATCCCTTTTTATTAAAAACTGAATCATTGGATAATGCAATTCTAGCATTTTGATTGGTTTAGCCGTTATGGTATATGAGCTAATATACCATGTTCTCCATATATGGTCGGTGTACGCGTCAGTTTAGAATTGGAAGCTAGCTGAGATTTTTTTTCGCGAAGGATAGAACGGCGCCCGAAGCAAATCGTTTTAATTCATTTCTTAGAATACTAGAAATGCAATTTCAACGAAAGAAAAAAGACAAAAACAAACAAAAAAGCCACAAGAGCTTGTTTGAAAGTTTGTCGAAAAACACATGGAACTAAAGTACCTTGACCAGCTACGAAAGAAGACAAGTGTTGTTTCTTCATGATCGCGAAGCCATTGGCCGATCGAGTCACTCGCCGATAGATAACTGCAGCTTGTTTATCCAACATCAAGAATATAAATCACAAGTAGCCTGTCACAAATACAGGCTATGCAGCCATTCACTAGAGCAATCGAGGCGGCAGTATAGCTTCTTTTCTCGTTCAGCAAAACCAGCTTGTGGCTTCAAACAACTTCATAACAAGCGACGAGGTAATACCAGTAGTTTTTCTCCGTTGTTCTTACCTTTATAACTGCACCGAAAATCCAAATTCATAGTAATTTCGACGGCTGTCACTTAAAAATTCCTTTCCTTCACATTTTCTGCCAGGTTTTTTAAGCTGTTCTGCTGTGTAAAATCCTAGAATCACGATGAGTTTTTAAAAAACTAATGTTCATCGCACAATGTTTTGATTTTTCATTCATGCAGTCTAGGCGAGTCCGTTCGCGCGTCGACAGTTTTGATAGACGCGCGTGTGACATGTGAATAGCGGAAGTCCCTTGTCTTTTCCGGTTTGTTCTAGTCGGGGCGATTCAACGAGATTTTGTGGGCGTTTTTAATAAAACAATTATTCCACTCGGGCTTGTTGGATATGAAATGATTATAGCCAACTCGGCGCTATGCGCCTCGTTGGCTATCTATCATCTCATATCCAACGCGCCTTCGTGGAATGATTTTTAAATAGTCCGATACTTTTGCTTTTTAGTCGAGCTTGCTCTTGAGCAAAGCGAGACTCTTAAAATGCAGTAGTTTTTTTTTTCGTTTTTCTATCTATCTAAAATGCATGCTGTGTACAACTCTAAACATTGTGCTCTGAGACGGAGATATTAAAAGTAGATACTAAGCAGCTATGGAAAATGTCATTACTTTCATGCGATATTGATATCTTATAAAACGGACAACAAATTCAACAGGAATACGCGCGAACTGAATTAACTGTGTGTTATATAAGGTTCTGTTCAACTTACCCTTTTTGCTATGCTGAACATATACTGTACCGAGCCGTATCTTGGTCCGGTACAAAGAAGCCATGTATATTTATACTGACAGAGTCATGGGCCCCTGATACCGATAAAAATCATCGTTCAATTTTTCGTGTGTAGAATCCCTGAAAGATTATTCCTCAATGGAGCAATATCAATATGTAGAAGGTTTTCAAAGGTTTCACACCGGTTTGAGGCTAAGATGTGCGTCCTGTCTCTCCTTGCAATTTTTACTTTTTGAGTATATACATTATGACATACAACACTCGTTTTGTATTCCAGACGAAAAAGTAGTATAACGGCACTGGGGCCTTTGACAACAAAACTCATCTCCAAGCAAGCGAGTCTCACCGCCGCTAAGAGCGTTCTTGTTATATTGTAGATTTCAATTCAATTTTTTTTGTAGTATATTATAGTTTTTCTTTTTTTATATTGTAGTTTTTAACAGGTGAAGAGCCATTAGGTGGATACACTGTTAATAAACCATTATTATTATTATTATTATTATTATTATTATTATTATTATTATTATTATTATTATTATTATTATTATTATTATTATTATTATTATTATTATGAGTCTCTCTCGCGGGAGAAACCAATGCTGGCGTTTGAAATGTTGGCTCTTTTCTCAAACTTGACTCCATGTCCACTGAAGTTTCTCGGAAACTCGCGCGCAAGAGAAAAAGACAAAAAAATCGTTCAACTATCATCACAGTCATTATTTTATTTTATTTCATTAGATTCGCCAATTCTTGGCAGGGTCTCTAAAACTGCATGACCCAGTTACTGCGGGCCCGTAACAGTCCCTTCCCCTATGAGAGACCACCACAACGGGGACTATGTCCTCCGCTCTTTAAAAACAGTGTGTGCTATTTAATGTCTCACAGAATTGATCTATATAAGGGTTGTGAGACGGGGCCTACGATTTATCGTCCTTATCCGAGAAGACTAGGAAGTCTAACCGTTTGCAGATGTCTTATAAAGGAAGCACTTTCTCCTAAGTTATTTTGAAAAAGATCCTGAATTTTGGTCCGGCCGGGGTTTGAACTAGCGGCCTCCCGCTCAGCAGACAAGCATATGTCAATTACTGACCTAACCAGGCAGCTGTAAAATGATTCATGATCATCGAAACCTTTTTTCGTCTTTAGGTGAAACGCAATACCGATTGGCTTTTGAAAAGGCTTTTAATCTTCTAAAGGGCACAACATCTGAAGACGCAGGCAAACCAAAGCGGAAAGTTATCTTATTTCTCACAGACGGAGCACCCTCCGATGATAAAAAAGCAATTTTCCACACCATAAGAGACAGGAATCTGGAGCTTAACAACTCGGTTGTCATTTTGACATTTGGCTTCGGTGGTGTAGATCAGGAAACAATCAACATTCTTCAAGATATTGCCCTGCAAAACACAGCCAAGTATGGAGTCTTCTCTAACGCTTCACTTGGAGACATAACGGTAAAAGTGTTCTGATGAAATAATTCTGAGCTTTTTTATGTGGAATAAAAACAATAACTTTGAAATGCTAACTTGAAGTCAGCATCACCACATTTCAAAAGCTTCATTAAAATTTCCATCCCTCTGCAAAACTCGACAAAAAAGACTTTTGCTTTCTTTGAAGACATTCTCTCTAGGACCAGAATACATTTAAACAGAGTAGTTATTGTTTCCTTTCTCTTTAATTAGAAGGGAAAATACATAGCTGTAGAAGACATCAAAACCCTTAGAAGCAAAATGGGTTTGTACTATAACTTCTTTGCAGCCGGAAAGCAGCTTGATCGACCAGTGGCTTCTGTCCCATATGTTGATGCTGGTGGACTAGGTTGGTGTTTTTCTGTTTACTGCGCTCAATAAAAAATTCGCTTGAAAGACGCCCTTAGATATTCCATCAAGCTCCACGGACAGTTCAAAGAAGGCATGAGTATGAAAAATTGAGAGAAAAATTGACCTTAGGAAAAAGGGAGAGGCAAGGTTAATGAGATTTGGCGCTCCAGAAAAAAAAAAATAGCGAGAAATACAAAAACAGAAAATGATGTGACCTGCGAGAACGCCTTGTCCACACGTGGAAAGGCGATAGCAATTATTAAATGACTTCAAAGCAAAAAATATACGAAGTTTTCATTGGCATTGAACTATTAACGAATCTGTATCAAGAAACAGGGCTTAAAGACAAGCCTTGAAACTCGTTTGGTTCCTATGCGTCCACAGCCTTCACATGGTAGAAAAAATAGCTTCATTTGTCTCAGTCTTATTTTGATTTCTTTTTTCCTAATTTTAGGACTTGTAATATCAATAACCCTTCCTTGTTATCATCAAGGAGTGTTTATTGGTGTCGTAGGCACTGACATTAGCATGGAGGATTTGGTATCTGACATCAATTTATTAAACGAAGGACAGAGTGCATACGCTTTTATGACCAGTAAATCAGGGAGAACTATTGTTCACCCTCTCCTCCCAGCTCCAACCGACGCGTATGGAGACCCAGTGTATTTGGATATTCGTGCATTAGAGCCAGAAGCAGAGTTCAACGATGTTTTTACCTCAATGACAAAGTATGTAGGTTTATTAACCTGTAACAGTTTTTTTAACCTCTGCGCTGTGTTGTTGTACTGCTGGTGGCTGAGCCTAGGTACATTAGTATTATGAAAAACAGATCTCCATTTAAATTTGTACTTCTCCATTTAAATCTGTACTTTTAAATGTTATCATGTTGTTTTGGAATATTCTGCATATTGTCCAATCAGAATAGTGGGTTTATTGAGTGGTCTTAAAGTAACATGATACGGGTCTGCAGCGGAACGTTCCGCTCATTAACCAATGAGAGTGGTTATATTGATCGATATCACTTTACACTTGTAAACAACGTGGTGACTTTACCCAGGTTTTGGATTATATGATACATGGAAATATAAAAAAATAAGATAAAACGAACATGCTGTAATCTTTAGAATACATGCCCTTTTTAATGTCAAAATCAAACCTGTGATAAAACTCGAAATGTTCCTCCTTTCAACCACTAAATTTCACTCACAAACAAGACTTGTGTTATCAACTGAGTAGAACTAAGAGCTTAACCGCCAATGGGCTGCTGCTTTAACTCAAAAGCATCATATCATGTTTACTTTTCTTTCGTGCCGTTCGGTGTTATTCATCTCTAGAAAAAGATACGTATGCATGACGAGAAACTTCTAGCGCGTTCAGTGTCTTTCCTTTTCGCAGACCGTACCACAACGACATACAGCATAAATTTATTTAAAACATCACGCTACAAGAAAAACGAAAAACGCTCCTCTTCTTCGTTTACCCGACGTAACTTCACTTTCGGTTGTATGCAAAGAATACCATATTGTTAGCCGCATTCAAAAATAAGTCAAACACTTGTTTTCTGTCATACGTTTTAACACTCGATTTCTTAATGTCGCTTTGCTTGGGAATATTCTGCCCGTCCTCCAATGAAACGGAAGAGCATGTGAAATATAATAATAGGTCTCGAGAGAAGAGATAACATCTTGTTCACGGCTGATCGATTCCAGAGTCTGCACTTTTTTAACCTTGTACTTGCCGTACTTCGTTGCCGTTGTGGAAGACTTGCTTACTTTGGAAAAGGAGAAGCTTCGGTATAAAATCCTAAGAAAGAAGGACTCACCGAAAGACTCGCGTGCTAACGGCGCGCCATAGGTTTTCAGTGGCCACGCACGACCTCCAAGTGTAATTTGATATGATACTTTTTTCTAATACTTCAGCGTGACAAACTTCCTTTACCATTTTCCTTTAAAACTGCACATGTTTGAATAAATCATGTATTAATCAGACATAATGTACGGTGCAACTGTTGACATTCCTCCGAACTAACTTAGAGTAAAGGGTCTTCAATACATTCTACGGTCGCTAAATTACAAAAGCTTGTGCAGTTGATTTTGAGAAGGCAGATGTGTCAGCTTGCAAGATTAGGTTTCAAATCTTAAACCCCGCGAAAATGACTGTTTGAAGTGAATGAATTAAACTAAATGATATAGGAGAATTTTCCCTTGGCTCCTTTACTCCAGAACTTGTGGGATCTCCTTTGAAATAATAAAAACTGGACCATTTTTTTACAAAAACGAAACGCGCTGTCGATAAGTGATGTTGCCATTTTAGTCCATTTACGTAATCGCCTGTCCTTTTGCACGTTGTCTCGTAAGACTTTAAAACTCAAATGCCGTTCAACTTAAAACTTTCATCCTTATTGCATTCTACGTGCGCGAGAGGAAAAATTTGTGCTACTAACAATGACTGAACTAATGACTGAACTAGCATATGTATCGTTAAGCGTTATGAGTACTTCGTATACCAACTGTATATGGTAATACTTCAGTACACCCGCTAACCGCGCAAAAATGAGATCACAGCGTACCTCTTAGAAGGTTTAGGAATCATTAATTCGTAAAAAAATTCGTTAACAGAGCATTGAAAAGCTAACGTTCTCCACTCTGAATATTCTCAGAGGATAAAAAGATCTTTTGGTTGTAGAAAACTGCAATTTTTGGTACGAATACATTGTATCAGACATTGTATATAATATTGCCACAGGTGGCGTTTGAACAATGCTGAACAATGCAAACGTATTAATGGCAAGGTTTCATTCACTTGCTTCGTATTTTTTTTAAGGTTTTCAAATCCTTTGCGTTGGGTACAATGGATCTTTTCTTTAAAGACGTTTACCAAATAATTCTCTTGAAAATAACCTAGAAGCCTCTATTGTACCTTTTTTCTTACATTTATCTGGAACTACCAAAAGGCAAAACAGATATTTTCCGGCCCAAATAATTCGCTATAATTCGCTATGAATGAGCTTGTCAGCCCCTGCTGCAGCGTTTGAGATTTATATGAGAATGGGGAAAAATAAACAGCATGAGAAAACAGGTAGGGGATGGGAAGAGATGGCAAATGAACAGTATTTTCTCCTTTCTACTGCGTCTCCATTTTTCTTGTGTTTTGTCTTTGGTGTTCCTCCCTCTTTCTCCGCTAATCACTATGTCAACGCCATGAGGAGCAATTAAAACAGATAACAAAGCAGGGACAAAATTGTGACGTCACGTAAGGTCGTGTGAAAAAAAAAGCGAAACGTTTACTATTTCACTACACAATATTACTCAGTTCAGAACGATGCACTATATAAATATCATCAATTTTATTCGGTTTTTACCATAGCTTTTCATGGCTTCACATAAAAAGCCTTTCTCATACACATTTAGACATGTATTAATCAGACACCAAGATCAGTGGTGTACAGTGACACTGTTAAGTCACACTTTAATCGTTGTTTTTTGGTTTCAAGCCTTATTTTATTATTCCAAGTCACTGGTATGATAAAATGTAAAACTGTCGACATTCCTCTGAACTGACCTTTGAAGCCTTTCTTAGAGGAAAGGGTCTTCGATACATTCTACGATCGGTAAATTAGAAAGTAATCAAACGCTTGTGCAGTTGATTTTGAGTTCAAGTCAGCACACATGTCAGCTCGCAAGATGAGGTTTCAAATCTTAAACCCCGCGAAAATGACTGTTTGAACTGAATGAAGTAAACTAAATGATATCGGAGAACCTTCCCTTGGCTCCTTTACTCCAGAACTTGTGGGATCTCCTTTGAAATAATAAAAACTGGACCAGTTTTTACAGCAACGGAAGCGGGCTGTCGATTCGCGATGTTGCCATTTTAGTCCATTTACGTAATCTCGTCTGTCCGTTTTGCACGTTGTCTCACAAGACTTATAAACTCAAATGCCGTTCAACCCACTAAAAGCCTTCATCCTTATTACATTCTACGCGCGCGAGAGGAAAAATTTCACGTTGTCCATTTGTGCTGCTAGCAATGACTGAATCTGCGTGTATCGCACTTTAATTTAGCGCTTTGGCTTTTGGCCGGTAACCGGTCAAGGTGTCAAAAACACTAAATGACGGCCGGCAGTCCCATATTCTCGCTGAATTTCACAAAATCGAAAGATTCTAGCTAATCTAAACTATCATATGTCGATTAAGACAAGTCAAGCGATCCTGAAAATGCCTTATAGATCTCAAGTCTAGTGTTTAGTTTGCGTTGGGCTTAGAAGACGAAACCATGTTTTGTCACACTTAAAACTTTTTTCAGCTCGACTGCCGGTCAAGGTTTTCAAAACACTAATATTCTCAGTAAATTTCAAGGTTTCGTCTTCTGAGTCCAGCGTAAACCAAACACTAGACTTGAGATCTATAAAGCATTTCAGGATCGCTTGACTTGTCTTAATCGACATATGGTAGTTTATATTAGCTACAATCTTTCGATTTTGTGACATTTACTGAGAATATAGGACTGCCGGCTATTTAGTGTTTTGAAAACCTTCACCGGTTACAGGCCATATAGCCACAGCGTTAATTTTAATTAGACCCTCTAAACCGCGCAAAAATGAGGTACTTCTAAGGTTTCCTACTCATTTTAATTCATAAAAAAAAGTTCTTAATAGAACATCGAAAAGCTAACGTCCTCCACTCTGAATATTCTCAGAACATCTTTTGGTTGTCGAAAAGTGCAATTTTTGTTACGAATACATTGTAACAGACATTACATACAATATTGTCACAGGCAGCGTTTGAACAATCCAAACGTAGTAGATGGCAAGGTTTCATTCACTTGCTCCGTACTTTTTTTAAGGTTTCAAATCCTTTACGTACGTTGAGTACAATGGATCTTTTCTTTAAAGACGTTTACCTCTATTGTACCTTTCTTCTTACATTTATCTGGAACAACCAAAAGGAGAAACAGATATTTTCCGGCCCAAATGATTCGCTATTGCCTAATTACATACCGCGCGGGTGCCTGGCACTACCGGATTTTCCCGGACTTTTTAAAAAGTCCAGTCTCAAAATGGCGGATAGTCGGGGTAAAAACTCGAGCGAAGGCATTCTTTTTCGAAGAAATATTGATCAATTAACAATTAGTTCATGCGTCAGCGTGCGTATGTCGAGATATTGAGCACGCGGGAAGTTTGGAGAGCACGAAAGAGGCGTAAGAGTTGCACGAGGCGCAGCCGAGTGCAACTCTAGCCTCTTGAGTGCTCTCCAAACTTCCCAAGTGCTCAATATCTCGACATACGCACAGCTGCAGCATGAACTAATTGTTTTATAACATTATCAAAGCGATCAATGCAGCAGTTAACTGAAAATTTTATTATTGAAGGGCGCGCTCAAAGCAGTACGCGTCAATGTTTACGTGAATATATCTTTTTTCCTCACAGTTAATCTTATGTTTTTATCCTGAAACTGAGAGAAAGTGTACTCTAAAATGATTGTAAAATCCATATTTAGGTGTCGGAAAACTATTAATTTCCCGAAAAATTGTTATTGAGAGAAAACAACTTTGCAAAGAATGAGCTCACGCCATAGCCCGCACAGCTCGCGGAGATGACAACAACAACAACAACACTCACCTCTTTTCCTTACTATCGGTTAACAAATTCAAACGTTTCCTCTTAAATTTCTTTACAAAACACATGGTAAACGCTTCATTGTCTATTGCTGAGTTATGGATTCACTCAGGAGACTCAGGATTGCTAAGCTCACAACAACTCGAGGAATTACGAATAGTTTATTGACGTCATCAGCGTGCTCAATAGGAATATGAAGGACGCTCGCGCTATTGAATTTGATTAGGCGAATTTTCTAGCTATGTTATAATATTCCCTCGGAGAATCTGTCTAAACTTAGTAACGAAGGGATGCAGTATTTCTGCCATACCCTGAAGCTATAAACTTAAGGAGCCGGCACTCAGCAAGTGCAAGCAGTTGTTTGATGAACAGGTCGCTCGAACCAAACATGATTATAAATTTTCTACAGCAAAGGATCCTCTGTTTAATTCTACCCGCGTATGAAAAGTAGAGGATCATTACAGGAAAGAACACAGATGTGATTGTGCACGTACCGATCATAGCCTAAGTATGCTGGAGCAGGACTTAAAAGGGCAGTACAGAAGGGCTTACCTGGATTATTCCCGTCGCGGAAAAGAGTAATGTCCGTGAAAGGTACTGAGTGTAGTGAACTTTGTGGCGTTTATGTATGTTAAACCTAGTGTTGTTCACATGAAGGGAGATAAGGGACTAGTCTATACTCAGGGCATGCTAGCCAAAAGGTAGTTGTACGTGACATTCTTTATTGTGATTACAAGCTGACTGCCCAAATGACAGGAACTGCTGTGTTACCGGACGAGAAATGCCTCTCAAGTAAGACTAAAGTATACTTGCTTTTATCCATGTTCAGTGAGAATTGTTTCCGGTCTGATCTTTAGAATTTCTACTGAGACCGTAAGCAGCGACGGGGAGAAAATCTAATGTAAGCCTTGCCGACCTAATATACAATGTTGCCCTTTCACTCAGGGTCACTCTGGCGTGCTTCCCTTCTTGGTAGTTTTTATTTACGGTCTGTAAAAACAGGTACACCCAACCCCTTATCATATTCGGTCGGATCCAGCGCCGTAAAAAGAGCTAAACTCGACTGTTCTTTGTTCAAATTTTTTGTCGAACAATTCGGGAATCCTCCCAATACTTCCAAGTAGCGAAAGTCTCCGATTAGATCTTTCTTTTCTCGAAATTTTTAATCGAGGCTCTTCATAGCAATAAAACAACTGTTCTTAGCTTTAGAATATTAACTTTCTGGAGTAATTTGGCCCTTAATATCGTTTTAACTAACTGACCTTTGCTTTACCTTCTATTTTGCAAGCCATTTTCAATCCAGAATTTAAAAAGTCCGGGAAAATCCGGTAGTGCCAGGCTCCCGCGCGGCATGAAATTAGGCAATGAGTGAGCTTAATTGTCAGCGCCTGCTGCAGCGTTTGAGATCTATATGAGAATGGGGAAAAGAATAAACAGCATGAGAAAACAGTGAGGGGATGGGAAGAGATGGCAAGTGAACGCTATCCTCTGCTTTCTACTGCTTCTCAACTTTTTTTGTGTTTTGTCTTTGGTGTTCCTCTCTCTTTCTCCGCTAATCACTATGTCAACGCCATGTGGAGGATCATGAAAGATGAAATTAAGAGAGAATTTATGATTAGACCTGTAACGCATACGTAACGATGGCGTTTCACACGATTCATTTCAGGTGAATTAATAAGGCAAGTTAAAAGCGGGCAAGAGCCATAATAGGACAGATAGGGAACCAAAGGGCGTTGGCTGGGATATCTTAATTTCAAAAAAGTTATTTTTAGAACTATGTGGACCAAGCGGAAACAGCTTCCGGTAAACTGGTTGACTTCCGGAAAACTTGCTTTCACGATTTCAGCGCGTCAAAGCGAGGCGGCGTCAACAAATTTTAAAAAATGGCGGCAGAAGTGGAGGGACGATGTGGAGTTGATAAATTGGCCTTCTTCAACAAAGAACCTACCGTAGAAACTGCTTAAAACTTCTACACAAAAGGGTCCTTTACAAGCAACGGTAGAAATCGGTTAAAGCGACCGTGTGACCATCGTTTCTGTTTGAACAGCTGGAAAGGGGACAAGTAGCATTGCAATTTACGGCCCGGATAAGCGTTGAAGACAAGATGCGCGGGTCCTACAAAGACGACCGTACAAGCAACCGTGTGGACGTATTTTCTATTGAAAGAGTACGGAAAAGAACGTATAAAGGTTTCCTGTATTTTTTGTCAAGGACATGACCGGGAATCTTGTGGAACACACCTTTTCCTGCTTAACTGATATTTTGTTCCGCACTTCACATTGGATAATTAGCAATTCTTTATTGAACACGAGGTTAATAGAAGCGGAGGTTAAAGGGACTGGTTCACGATAATGCGCATGCGCGCCGTTTGGCTCTTCAGAATAAATTTGTTGGGTCAACACTAAATTCGAAATCGCCATTACCGGTACAATCACTGAAAATCCTTCGTTTTATTCGGACATCCGTCGCTTTGGCTGGTCTAGTTATACTTCGGTAGTGGTGATTAACGTGTGGTTGTGTCGTTTGACTGGTTACGTTTTAAGAAGACGCAAAAAATAATGTTTTGATCATGGAGGTTCAGAAGAGCATCGTGGCCGTCCGGCAACAGGACGTTCTCAAGAGTCTTAGGAGAAAGAGAAGCTTAGCCTATCGATCTGGTATGGTTCTAGGAGTAGTGTGTGGCTTACGAAAAGAATGCACGACACTTGGAAAGTGGTTAAAGGCATGAGTTCGTTCAACTTTGATTTGATTTTTGACTCCGACCTGTAGTTATACCGCAACAGGCCGCGTGATCTTCACCGATCTGGTACACTTGAAATGTTCCTTGTATCTTTGATTTACGATCGTATATGTTTAAGAATTGATGTTTTTAAAATAAATTGTTGCCTGAATATTCTGTTTATAATGTAGTTTCTTTATGTGTGCGACTCGATAACATTTGTTTTGCGGAACACTGACCCGATGTAACGCGAATGAATTTGTTCATTTGCTGCTAAGCATTTGAAATTTATGCTCATTTAAGGATAATCTTTATACTCATACGTTGTGTGTTTTTGTCACCGGTCAGGCGGTATTTGTAGGTATTTCAGGGTTTAAATAAGGCGAACTGAGAGAACAGTAATAAGATGTTTGTTGACAAATTTTGTTTGCCGATCGGTGACTGCTTTGTTAGCGTGGGTACGACCTCGTAAAAATACACGTTGGTAAATGTTTGTTTCAAAGTAGGACAGGGCTGTAAATCTTATTCTTATCGGCTGCAACATATAACTGAGGAGTAGCAAAGAATAAACTTGAATTATGGGAATAAATCAAATCAAACCAAATGCCCGGAAATACTCTCGCGTCGCGAACAATTAATTTGAATTTTGTAAATTTACTTGCGTGCATCTAACTCGCTTCCGATTGGTTGAAAAACAATCAGCTACTGTCAGAACTCACACATGCGCATTACCGTGAACCAGTCCCTTTAATATTCCTAAATCAGTAAAGAAACCAAAAAGCTCAATTTGATTGACGGATCAAATCATGCGTGGAAATCGGTAAACAATAGGTTTGATCTTACAGAATTTTCAAACATTGGAAATCAAATCGGCATGAATCGGAAACAATAGCTTAATGTATTATATGGAATCGCCAGGAGTTTAAATTGTACTTGCAAGCCTAAGAAGAAAAGTAGAGCTTTGTTTTCATCTGTCGACTCGCCAAGTTAGGGAAAAAGGTTTTTTGTGCAGCTAATTTGTGTTGTTCTTCGTAAGGGCAGACAATGGTGGCCCGGCCGGTTGCTCGAGGTAAGGAGCCGTTTCAGTCTGTAGTTTTCTCTATCCTGTTTAATTGAAATCTTGAGCTTTCGTTAAGATTTGCTTTCATTTTTTTTCTCATAAGTAAGTTGAATTTGATTTCGGGGGAAAATTTGTCTTTAAAGGAAATGTTGAGTTCACACACCTTGTACTCGATTAAACTGTAATTGTCAACATTCCATCGAGGAAAAAATACTGCTAACGTTAATCCGAAAAGGCTCTTTTGAAACTTTGAAGTCTTTTCATACCTTAAAAAAAATGGACCCTAGGATTTTCCAGAATTCTGAAAGGTTCTCCCTCTAAAAAGATTGACAAAACACCGAGCTAACGCATTATTTACTCGCGAGGCTCATAAACCTGTAATAATTAACCTTTACAGATCCTGCACCACAATGTGTAGGTGAGAACAACCCCAAACATTTGTTATGTGTGTTAAATAATATAAACTTGCTGCATGGATAATAAATATAGGGGTTTCGATGCATAGGACCTTTTGATGTTGTGTTTGCCACTTATTGATCCAGCAAGTTTTGTTTACTTTAGTAAGCACTCATGGTTTTAGGTGTCGGCTGCTGAGTGTAGTCTTTTCTTTTTTTCTCTATAGAAAGCACTCAAAAGTGTTACTTAAGAATATAAATAAGTTCAAGCTGTGTATAGCTTCTTGTTTATAATTATGTCTTATTTCTTGTACCTCCCCTCCTCAGTGAAAGCCTAATTAACTCATTTATACTTGAATGGTGAAACCTGTATTATGCAGACCCCATATTAAGCAGACACCTTGTATTCAGCAGTCGAATAGCTCAAAATGTGGCAAAACGTTTCTTTCCATAATTTAAGAGAAACAAACCTCTACTTAGTGGATATCTGTAATAAGCAGAAAGCAGCAAAGCTTGTGTGAATGCCCGCCCAAGTCTCATTATACAGGTTTTTTTTTTTTTATTTGTAACAACCTTTAATGCATAAAAATAGATGGTAAAAAGAAGGATGAGTGAGGGTGTAAAGAGAGAACTGAGTCCTAATGCCAGGCTGGCTCCCTCCCTGAGGATATAATTGAAAATACAACATGTAAAGGTTTCATAAAACTGGTATGTGAGCAGTCTCTCTTCAGCTCGAAAATCTGTAAGCGAGATTATTTGAGCAGCGAAGTCGCACGAATTGTGAGGGCGCAAATTCGAATACGCTGCTCAAATACTCTTGCTTACAGATTTTCAAGCAAAAGAGAGACTGCTCGCAGTCTATATGTCTTTCAGTGTCTGCAAACTTTTCTGTTGTTTTCTGACAGGTTGAATTGAAGGAACAATATTACTAGCAATCATGAATTCTCTTTTAAGATGTCTGTATGACCTTGCCACGGAATTGAAAGTGGGGAAAATAAAGTACAAGTCTGACAAACAGTGCAAGTTCTATATTTTGGGGCAAGGGAGCACTTATTTATTTATTTATTATTTTTTATACTTTTGTTAAACTATCTGGCTGCCAATGCATTTGGGATTTGAAATTTGAGGAATACTGGGAAGAGTGTGACCAACTGAGTGACACATGTTATCGTACACACTAAATTAATATCAATTTGTCTCCTTCTAGATACTTTCCTTGACATTGCCTCTCTCAAGCCATGGCATGAATAGATACACTGATTCAGTCACAGACTATGTTTTATTGCTCCAGAATGTCTCTCTCAATGCAACCCATGCAGATGCATAAATTGATTAACTCACCAATGAAAGAAACTTGACCTAATTAAGAGGTCAAGGTGTGACCAAAGGAAGTTCTTATTGATTTTTATGTTACTGTGATATGAAGGTCATATGCTCAAATACTGATCAGCTTAACTGATAATAACAGCCTCAATTTCCTGTGATGTCTTAGTGGTTGCATGGGGCCTGTTCAATCATAATGTGCAGACCAACATGTGAGTTTATTAGTATATTTAAAGGGAAAGATTGGGGTGTCATGGTGCAGGATGCCTTAAAAGCAAAAGAAACTTGCTCTGCCTGCAGACTCGGCTTTAAGAGCATTAGAATGAAACATTAATATCAATAAAGTCAATGTTTAAACATGCTGAAATGCAAAAAGGTGCTCACTTTACTATTGTCTGTACTATACTTCTGATTGGTTTAGGCAGCAAAATCAAGAAAACTTTGCAACGCAGCATGCATATGAATCCTTATAACAAATTCTTATGAGTCTGAATAAAACAGGCATGCCGGGAACAAAAAATTAATGTAAAGTTTTCTTCAGTTGGCTATTGTTTGCAGCTCTTATGACTGGTTGAAACCTTTTAACACAAAGAAAATACCCCTTTAAATGGGTATGGATACATTTATTTTTGAAAACATTTTTTTGTTTTTCTCAAAATATGGTTAGAAACTTTTCAAACATACTGAGCTATTCATCTGCTTAACATAGAATGTAACTTTTAATATGGAGTCTGCTTAAATATACAGGTTTTGCCGTTCACTATGGAAAATGAGTAATTAGGTTTGTATTTTTTTCTATGTGGGAGGGGAGTATGAAAAATAAGACACAACTCAGTAAGAAGCTATACAAAGCTCGAACTTATTGCAATAGTTTTTATTCTTAATACTTTGAGCACTTTCTATAACGAAAAAAAGAAAAGACTACATTCAGCAGCCGACACCTAACACCTGATGAGTGATTAATTACTAAAATAGGGAAAAAAATAGGGGCAAACACAACATCAAAAGGTACTATGCATCCTTGAATGCCTGAAGCTTGAATTATGCTGTGGTACAATTTGCATTCAAACCCTCTACATTTATTATACGTGCAGCAAACTTATATTATTTAACACACATAACAAATGTTTGGGTTGTTCTTACCTACACATTGTGGTGCAGGATCTGTAAAGGTTAATTATTACAGGTGTATGAGGAAAATATGAGGCTTGGTAAAACCACATAAAGTAAATAAACTCCAGGTCAGATTATCATACTGTCGTATTTATTTCAACACCGTTTGCAACATGAAAAAAACACAAATAACCTTGCACAAATAAAGCTTGTACAAGCAAAAATCGTTTCTTTTCTTCACAGGCTGGGAAACAGAATTTAAAGTTCTGGCGATTCCATATAACCCAGTAGGCCATTGTTTGCGAAAGGATTTTTTAACTGCGATTTGATTTGCAATGTTTGACAATTCTGTAAAGATCAAACTTTTGCACATACCGATTTTCACACACGAGTTGATCCGTCAAAACCGTCAATAAAATCGAACTTGAATGGTCTCCTTACTGGTTTTCAATCTTGGTGAATATTTGGCTTTAGGAATATTAACCTCGCCGCGAATATTCCGCTTCTATTCACCTCGTGTTCAAGAATATTAAAGAGCTTAATTGTTAATTGTCCAATGTGAAGCACGGTACAAAATATCAGTCAAAGCAGGAAGAGGTGTTTTCCACATGATTCCTGGTCATGTCCTTGAGAAAAATACTAGAAACCTTTATACGTTTTTCCCTTCCTTTTTCAACAGAAAATACGTCCACACGGTCGCTTGTACGGTCGTCTTTGTAGGGCCCGCATGTTGTGTTCAACGCTTATCCGGACCGCATTGCTACTTGTCCTCTTTCCAGCTGTTCCAACAAAAACGATGGTCTACGCGGTCGCTTTAACTGTATTTCTACCGTTTGTTGTAAAGGATCCGTTTGAGTAGAAGTTTTAACCCATTTCTATGGTAGGTTCTTCGTTGAAGAAGGACAATTTATCAAGTACACACCCTCCACATCGTCCCTCCACTTAGGCAGTCATTTTTTTCATTTATTGACCCCGCCTCGCGTTGGCGCACTGAATCTTCCGGAAGTCAACCAGTTTACCGGAAACTTTTTCCGCATGGTCCGCATCGCTCTAAAAATAACTTTTTTGAAATTAAGATATCCCAAAGGCGTGACTGGCAGAGTCTTTCTCTGTCCTATTATAGCTCTTGAAGCGGAGAACAGCAAAAAAAAAAAGAAGAAGTAATTGAAAATGAAGGGAAACACCAGAAACAAAGAACTGGGAATGGAAAGAAACAGAGCAACACTTCACAGAGGATGCAATTGAGGGTCAATTGAGTGACTTAATAAATTTGATAAGAAATTTTTTTATAATCGTTCTTCGTGGTCTTCCGTTACACTCAGTGTAAAGCAGAACCTCCTTTGAAACAGTTTAGGTTACCTCTTTAGTCCCACAGCCTCGAATGTCTTTCCTCCTTAGCTTGTTACAGATGATTTGACACATTTGAGTTAAACCACTTTCAAATGTCACCACTACAGCATGAAGCATAAAATTATTTCAAACACACGTCACAATAAAAAGAACAAAACTTCTTCGTTTACCCGACGTAAGTGCACTTTCTGGTTTTGAGCAAAGAATACCCCTTTCAAAAAATTAGTCAAACACTTGTTTTTGGTCATATGTTTCAACATTCGATAAGTCCCTTTGCTTCGGAATATTCCGCCGGAAGAGACGGAAGAGCATGCGATAACATCTTTGTTCACGGCTGAAGAGAAGGGACAACCGGAAATACATCAACGTGGCTTTAGCATGCATCGCAGGCTTGCAATCTACACTTTTTCGACCTTTTGCTCAAAACTTGTACTTGCGGTACCATGTTGCCGGTAAAACAGGCAATTTCTATTTTTTTTAAATTTTAAAATACACTTTAAGCAGAATTAAATATAATAACCTAGATATATAACACTCATACATGAATTTTAAAACATATTTTCCATTATAACCTATATCATAAACATATATCAAGATAATCTAACCTGTTTCTCCTACCATTGATCTGATCGATCCATCGGCAACCTCTCCACTGAATGTCCTTCGACCAGCTTTGTTCCAAAATGCTTACCGTCTCAGTTCACGTAATGCCCACATTCGTGAAATCTTTGCCGCCACTTTTCCAGTTTCCCGGGCTCATGTTCTGACTTTGGCTCTTTCCACGGTTGGAGGTGAATGGCCGTAGAACTCCGAGGTTATCAAAAAAAATGCCATTCAAAATATTTTTGTGGATCACAATTAGACTTGTTTTCCTTCGAAAAGGAGAAGTTCCGGTAAATCCTAAGAACTAAAGCCTCACCGAAAAACTCGCATGCCATTAAGCGCGCCATTGGTTTTCAGTGACCAAGCACGACCTCTAGGCTTTTGTACATTATGCTAGCATTTTTTCGAGCATTTTAGTGAGGCAAAAGCATTGAGCATTATTCGAGCATTTTAGTGGCATTTTCCCCGGAAAATTATTTTTCTGAGAAAATAAATAGAAATTAACTTTTTTCAGGAGCCCATGCCCCATGAGCTCCTGCTTTTTTAAACAAAATGAAGAATAAAACTCAAAATTCACAAAAAACCTAATACAGCTGGTTTTTTTTGGCTGTATTTATGAACTTGTACACGTTTTCGTTGTTACTTGCAACACTTGCACGTTTTTGTAAGTGTAAAGTCTGAAATTAAATAAAAAAAACCGTTTGTATAATGAGCATTATCCGAGCATTTTAGTGACTTTTTGGGGAGACCGAGCATTTTAGTGGGAAAAATGGAGCATTAAGGTGGAGCATTTTAGTAGGGAAGCAAAAGCCTAACGACCTCTAAGTGTAATTTGATATGATATTTTTATTATTGTTTAATTCTTCAACATGTTTAAAAATTTTCCTTGAGATATAAACTAGCGTAACAGTTTGGGCATTTTTCTCTTACCATCTGCTTACCTCCCGTGATAATGGAAGCATTAAATCCCAAAGTGAAAAAAAGGAAAACTCGAAAACAAATGAAACTTACATGTGTCTGTTGAATTGGTTATTACGCGCAAACGTCACGGAAGGAAACTACAAGTGTCATCTTGCCATTGGTTTATTTGCGAAATATTCTGTCGTATTAACAGTCCATTGGCGGTAAGCTGTTAGTTCTACTCAGCTTATATAACAAGTCTTGTTTGTGAGTAAATTTCTAACCTTCCTCGCAGCTGTATCAGAAAGAAGGTAAATGCAACAGGATATTATCATTAATTTTACGATTTACCACAATTTGATTTAGTGGTTGAAAGAGGAACATTTCGAGTTTTATCACAGGTTTGATATTCAATTCCCCCATGCACGCGAAATACATAACCCTATGATTTATACACGCAAAATAAGTTTGTTACGCTGAAGTATAATGATATGATATTTTTGTTAAGTATAATACGCTGATGTAGTATTTATAGACTTTTCAAAGGCTTTTGACCTTGTCTGTCATAATATTCTATTAACCAAACTTTACAAATATGGTGTCCATGGAGACTTGCTAAATTGGTGTAGAGATTATTTAACAGAACGTCAACAGCGTGTTGTAGTGAAAGGAGAGGCTTCCGACTGGTTAACCGTAGCCTCTGGTGTCCCACAAGGTTCTTTGTTGGGACCGTTATTCTTCATAGTCTACATCAATGATTTACCAGGGGGTAATTACTAAGGAAAGTTCAATTGCTCTGTATGCTGATGACAGTAAAATGTATAGGGTTATTAGTACTCAAGAAGATCTGTCTACTTTTCAAAGTGACATAGACAAAATTTCAGATTGGTGTAAGATGAATAAGATGCGAATTAATACCAAGAAATCTAAGATCATGCGAATAACCAGGAAAAAGTCACCATTAGTTGGGGAGTATAATATTGAAGGTCAGCCTTTGGAAACTGTTGATGCGTATAAAGATTTAGGATTATTTACTACCAGTAATCTTTCATGGAACCAACACGTAGATAAAATAACTGCTAAGGCTAATAGGGTTTAGGGTTGGTTAAGAGGACTTGTAGGGACTTAAAGGATATTGATACCATGAACACACTTTATTGCAGTCTTGTGAGACCTTTATTAGAATATTCATGCGAAACTTAGAACCCTCATACTAAACGTAACATTGATAAACTGGAGGCTGTTCAGCGAAGAGCTACCAGATGGATCACTAGGTCTGATGATGATTATGATACCAGACTATCTAAGCTAAAATTGTTGTCATTATCTAATAGGAGGTTCACAAGAGATGTTACGTTTTTTTTTTAATGTAATTAATGGACATTATGATATTGACATTTCAAATAAGCTCATATTTTGTAAGGACAGAAATACAGGTTATAACTTGAGGAAAAATGACACACAGGACCTTGTTCCAAATTTTAGTAGAACTGATGGTTTTAAATATAGTTTTTTTTAACCGTGTTGTAGATGAATGGAATGGTTTACCCAACCATATTAGAGAATCAAACAGTATTGCAACTTTTAAAAGGAATGTGTTAAGCTTTATTAAGGATAACTAGAACATTTATATTTCTATTTGTATATATTTTTCTTATATGTTAATTAGTGCGGGCATCCCTAGTATGGCGCATTAGTGCTTTTGGTTGTCTCCTTCTCCACAACTTTTTATTTGTTTGTTTTTTTTTTTTAAAGTAGTGTTAGCTTATTTCATTATTTGCTTGTTATGCATTGGAGTGAATCTGTAATAAATCTATAAGAAGATAGTAAAAAAATATCTATCAAATTACACTTAGAGGTCGTGCGTGGTCATTGAAAACTATTGCGCACTTTAGCTTGCAATTCTCCCGGCCGGTGTGTCCTTCTTTCTTAGGATTTACCAAAGCTTTTCCTTTTCCAAGGTAAGCTAGACTAATTGTGATCCACAACGGCAAAGTAGTACAACAAGTACAAGGTTAAAAAAGTGCAGACTTTGGAATCAATCAGCCGTGAACAAGATGTTATCTCTTCTCTCATGACCAATTATTATATTTCACATGCTCTTCCGTCTCATTGGAGGACGGGTAGAATATTCCGAAGCAAAGCGACATTAAGAAATCGAGTGTTGAAACATGTGACAAAAAAAAACAAGTGTTTGACTTATTTTTGAAAGCGGCTAACAATATGGTATTCTTTGCGTATAGACGAAAGTGCACTTATGTCGGGTAAACGAAGGAGAAGAGTGTTTTTCTTTTTCTTATAACGTGATGTTTTAAATGAATTCATGCTTTATGTTGTTGTGGTACGGTCTGCGAAAGGGCGCTAGAAATAACATCGCACGGCACGGAAGAAAAATAAACATGATATGATGCATTTGAGTTAAACCAGTCCATTGGCGGTTAAGCTCTTAGTTCTACTCACTTGATAACACAAGTCTTGTTTGTGAGTAAAATTTAGTGGTTGAAAGGAGGAACATTTCGAGTTTTATCACAGGTTTGACTTTGAAATCCTCCGTGAACGCGAAATAACCTTATGATTTAAAAAATAAAAAAATAGTAATGAAAAAAAGGCATATATTCTTAAGAATACAGCATGTTCGTTTTGTCTTATTTTTTTTTATATTTCCATGTATCATGTAACCCAAAACCTGGGTGACGTCACCACGTTGTTTACAAGTGTGAAGTGATATCGATCTATATAACCACTCTCATTTGTTAATGCGCGGAACGTTCCGCTGCAGACCCGTATCATGTTACTTTAAGACCCTTTCAATAAACCCACTATTCCAAAAAAAACATGATAAAATTGGAAAGTACAGATTTAAATGGAGAAGTACAAATTTAAATGTAGATCTGTTTAAAGGATGATAGATTTAGAAGCATTTCTAGCCACTTTAGGACGCATAAATTTAAAGTTTCCCCAAAGAAAAATATCGCTGGACTCCCTTAACATGCTTACTCTCATAGATTCGATTCTCTCTTGATTCGGTTTAACGCCACCACTCTCAATCCTTCTCTGGATCCGCGGATTATTCTGATACAAATGACAGAAATTTTCACTGCATTAGGTATTTTAGAGGTTTCCACCAGTTATATTATAGCTTTACATTTTTCTCTTAGTGGTAGGTCTGGTTCAAAGACCTTTCATGCAAAACGATTTTTACCACGAGGTGGGGACGTCAAGGAAGGAGTGGAAGCCAGAGAAGTAAATTCAACGTACAGTTGGACTCAGGTAGATGGCACCGAATTTACACTCGGTGTAGTCGTACCAGTAGCCTACTCGAAGGAGAAACTTAAGGCTGTCACAATTCCAGAAGGTTAGTTTGCTGGAGAGTATTGCTGTGTAATTTTCCTAATAATCAAAACTGCTTATTATGGACATATACCGGAAATTAGAGGTGCTTATGATTATGGAGGTGAATCGACCTTGCTGTCTTTGCAATCAAGAAAAGTCTCCGCAATAGAGAGGTCTCTCCGTATGGGGAGGTTTGACCGAATCAGTGAAAGCGCATTTTCGTAACGTCAATACGCTGAGACTGTCCAATTTAATTCCGGATACGCTTCGAATTTGGTAATGTTTGGACAATTAAGCCCCAACATTGCTTCGCAACTGCCAACGTAGTCCAGCCCCACAATAAAAGGTGTAGCATGTGAGCTTTCAGTACCCTTAAGAGCCGACAGCCGCAATTTTTAAGACTAAAACCACCTGAGATTTGTTATCTTTAAATCCCAAAGGTTACAAGTTTCAGTATCACCGGATCGATCTTCAGTCCTTAGAAAAGCCGTGCAGTCATTTCGGAGTAAATGCAACAAAAGGTACTAATTTCAAGTCATAACATACGCTAAAGACTTCCAAATTCCCGCTGTTAATAAAACCTGTATCATGAAAGTGAAAAAAAAAAGACTGCGATGATCGATTGTAAATAAAAAAGGAAATAATCTGGTCCTACCCTCGTCTGGTGTTTCAACGAGCCAAAAATTCGAGGAATTTCCAAGGTTTTTTAGGGGCAAGAAAACACGACCATTTTACTTTTCGGAAAGAAAGGGATACCTTGAATTTTTTTTTTCAGAGGCAAATAGTTTTTCAGGCAACAGGAAATCACTGGAAGAGTAAGCCTTCTGGAGTAATATCATTGCTGAAGACTCACCGGAAACTTAACAAGCTACTCACCCATAAACACCCTTTCAGAAAGTCTTAAGCCTTTATAATTTCCGCATATCCTTTACACTGACCAAAGAATGATAATTCCACCTAACTATATAGGCAGATGAATTCTGTGTTTTTTACTAATAGGTACAACGGTTGTAAAATTTGCTCCTGGAGCTTTCGAAGACACTTACGAATATATAGGTAAAAAAGAGAGTAGGGCAGATTTGGAGTTGCTCAATGCTTACATGACTGACGTTACGGGGACGATCAAAAGTCCGGGTTTAAAACCGGGAATACGGGACACAGTGACCGCTACCTGGAAAGTGGAAGAGATTTGGTCGCGCGAAAAGACTGAGCTGACACAATATTTGGTGTGGAGATATATTGGAACAGCAGATGGGGTTTTCAGACAGATTCCTGGTGCTGTATTTCAGAAAAGTTACGATCCCAGACAAAGACCCTGGTAAGTGAGAACTCTCCTCTTCACCTCTTGAATCAGGCTCTATATGTAACATTAGATAGGCCGCTTGATACTGTTTTATCATCCAAATTTTCGAAAGGCTATCATTCCGTCTCCAGTTAGAATAGACAGAATCACGGGGCCAAGATCTCAATAAGACTCATCATATAATAGTCAGTGGTCTGCCTGCCTCCCGCGGAGGGAGGTAACGTCGGAGATATTCCACCCTTGCGGTTCAGTTGTACTTTATGAAGCTTGCTTTTTTCGTTTATTTTTCGAGGTATAGTTGGAAAATTGTTGATGTTGTCTATTGTAGGCCAATTTGTGTGACCGCAGTCCTCACTGGAGCTTATGTTGACTCAGCCCAGGCTGTTATTAAGTCGCCCCGATCTGAACCAGGACTGGTTTAGGGTAGACGACACTAACACTGCGTTTTGCAGGTGTCCTTTTCAACCTTTTTATCATCCTCTTAAGTTCGGGAAACACCGCAGCACCTTTGGAAGGTTTTTTCTGGGATCCTGAGTTGGACCCGTGACTTCTAGATTTTCTTTCCTGTGTCAATTTGAATCTCTTTAAGAACCCATTCTTGTCCATTCTGGGCAATCAAAGAGTGCAAGTACTTCTCTTTTTCGAAGCTGATGGTTTAGTGTTTTAACGATATCCAGTTTTCTTGCCCAGGTTGGCGTGAGGAAAACTGATTAGTAGTGCCTGAGTGTGCACAGTTCTCTTGACAACAGTTGTTGATCGTGCGGGATTCATTACGACTTCCAGTGGTTGTTTTTTTTTTTTCCCTGCTCGATGGTGAAGCTGATGCTGGCATGCTTTTCATTGATGTGGTAGAAAATCATATTTTATTTGTCTTGTTCACAACTCCGGTTTATCTATCCTTGCTTTAAGACTTTTCCAATGAAGATTTCCACTAATATTGGGTACTGCGGGGAAACCCTAGCCATACTTTAGGTTTGTTCATTGACTCGATTGCACTGCTTGTAACAGTAACGTTGTGGCTTTGTATAGCAGCAAAACGGTTCTTTTAAACATAAACAAACGATAGTTTAATCCAATTAAGTCACTTGACTGAAAACTCCTATACAAGATCGCGAGCAAGTGTAAAATATGGCACTCCATTGGATAACAACTATCACTTGACTTTGCAGTTTCATACATCCACGACCAGCCATATCAACAATACCATATAATCAACAATACCATATAATCAGGGGTCATTGGTGAGCGTTCTGACCAAATGGGAGTCATTGTCTGTCCTGTAAGTGATCAAAAAGGGTAATTTTTTTGCTTGGGTGTCACTGGTTAACTGGGCAGCGATATCATATGACGTCTAGATATCGCCATTATCGAGTGTACTCTTTCTAGTCATGTCCACGAGGTTCAGTGTTGGAGGTGTTTATTTTTCTCGTCACCTTGCCCCACCCACAGGTTCAGAAACGGTGGGTGATCCTAGGGAGAGCTAATAGATCTCTATTTAAATCGTCTCCCCGGAGGCGACGGCAAGCATCTTCATGGTTTTAGGAGTTCTGTAGAACCGCCGGTGGCGTCTAAAGTAGGGAATCTCTTTATTCTTGGCAGATATCCCTGGATTATGTCCTTCACTTTATGTGGCTTTCAGTTTCCTCTCGTGCAGGTGACCTTTCAGGTTGAGATTGCTCGGAACTGTAGGAGTGCAAGTGTTCTTATGTGGAGTTGGCAGTTTCTGGCGTTCTGAGACGCACTCATGCTTGGCCAACAAAGGCTTTCAATTTGTCAGAAGAAGGAATGAAATGTCCTTAATTGGGCGCTTGGGTATTTCATCTCTACTAAAACTGGACTTAGGGTGCTAAGAATTGGAAAAAAACGACCTGGTCTCAAAGATATCGCATCCTAACTGCTCTACGTTTTGACGCAGGGCTTTTATGGCACTTACAATCGACAATCTGTCGGGATATTGTTGGCAGCGATTACGAAGTTTAAACCTTTCGAAAGGACTTTTATTTCACTGCTACTGAGTTTTCATAATAGTGCTCGCTCTCATGCAGAGAAAGAAAGAAAAAGAAAAAAGCACCACACATAAAGTTCACTTTAATTGCGAAATCATCGGTCAATCTTCCAGGCATTCCATTTCAGACTAACGAGAATCCACGTTATTGAACAAGACGCAAGGACAATAATAATAAATAAATAACGATACATGCAATACGTTAGTTTAGAGGAAGGAGAGAGGAATACAGAGGGAAACGAAAGACGTCGAAGGGGCAAGGACGAAAGCGAGAACCAGCAACAAACTGAACAACGTTTGAGATTCGAAGCCAGCCTATTTTGATGAGAGGCATGTGCTGTCAGTTATACATGTACGTCACCACATCCTCTGGAAGTTGCAAGGCTGATTCTGTCGCAAACTATTTTATGGGTGCTGATGATTAACAAAAAATATTTTAGGTGTATATGCCGTCTATCCTTGGCCTAATTGTTATTTTCTTTAGTTTTTGGGTGGTAATGTTTGGTCATGGTAAAAATTAAATTTAAACCAAGATTAAAATTTTTGTTATTCATGATTTGGTTCACTTAGGTATTATTCGGCTTTGGGTAACACTGGCCTTCTCACTCTCACGACCCCATATTTGGACGCTGGCCAACCTAATGGCAGAGGCGCTGGAGTGATTATAACTGTCGCCCGCTCCCTATACCGCGGGGAGTCAAGTCACCATCATCACACAAATGACGAGGTTCTTGGAGTTATGGGAGCTGATTTTTCATTGGCCTATTTCTACAGGTTAGTCCAAGCTTACACAAGCTCAGTGGATTTAGGGAATGTCCATTTTTGTCATGCTGTTGGACCAAAAACTGATTAGAAATAATGAAATAATTTAATAAATGTTTTATTTCACTAAAAACTGAAAGCGAAATAATATTACATTCTTATGACACATTTCTTGGTCTTAATTTGTTTGGCTGGACACAGACAAAAAAAATAAAAAATTAGACGTCCTATTATTTGGTCGTTATTAGATAAATGATTATGTGTATCAATTTTTATGAAATCTTCAGGCAGTTTAATGGTTTAGTTAATTATTATTTGCCTCAGCATTTTGGATGTTTGTGATTTTCCGCTGCTATCAACTAAACATTTGAATTTTTAGATTGCTCACTAAAGTATATCCAAAGTGCAGAGAACGAAAATTCTATTCTTGCTTCGTTATGGACAGCGCTGGATTCCTTATCATGCACGAAGACTTCCTTGAACATTCCGAAATTGCCCAAGACTTGGAATATGTTCATATTACTAATAAAGAAAAGAATATTGCGGAACATCTCATTACAAATGGCTACTTGAAAAAACGGGAATGCCGCAATCTTAAAGAAATCCAGAAGCAGAGTTTTTATGAGGTTGATTTGCCATATGGAGGAGTTGACGTTCTGAAGAGTGGAGACAGCTGCAGTAAATACCAACTCAACAAAATTGTTGGAACTAATGCTTACTTAGGTTTGTAAGTGATTTTGTAGTCTGTGTGGGACAGTGGTGCTTGCACTCAGACGGTGACTGGAATATCTTGGTCTAGCTTTCAAACCAGTCAGAAAAAATAGCAAATCCCAAGGGGATTAGTGGACTTTCTTAAAAGTCCTTAAATTTTTTTTTCTGTTCGTCCTTGCGACCTCGTCGCACGTTCGGTTGCTGCTTGACCTCGTTGAAGCTCGCTTTGCTCGCTAAAAACCATATGAGAGATCAACTTGTGGCAAGTCTAGGAGATAAGGTACTACACGTTTTTTCAGAGCTAATCACAAGTAGCCCAAGCTCGAAATATGAGCATCGGCGAACATCGGCATTGTTGCGTAACATTCAAAATATAAGGATTTGTATGGGAAAAAAAACTATCGTTTCTGTAACCTACGAATTTGAAAGTATTTCAATAAAAAAAACAGCTTACCTTACTTAAAATGTGTGTTACGTCTCTCCTGTGTGGTCCACGGGCCGATTAAGGTTGGAGACTGCAGCGAAGCGGCCCGACGGATCCACCAAAGGAGAACGGCCGTAAATTCGCTCTAACGGCTGCAGTCGCCTCCAAATTCCGACTAGATAACACGCGATAGTTCTGCTTTCCATTCGTTATCTTTCTTGAAGATGCCTTTGCACCGAGAGCGAATCAAAGGTCGTCTATCTTTGCAACCTTTCCTGTCTGAAGCCATCGACAGAACCTTGGTTTGAACTTCGCGTTACCGTTGAAAGATAACGACATAGGCTGAGACTCAAATTACTCACACTCGGGGTGGGAGACAGTCTCTTACTCCCGTTGTTTTCTTTCTTGGGTATTGATGTCAACGGAAGCAAGGGACTGTCTCCCAGCCCGAGTGTGGGTAATTTGAGTCTCAGGCCGTGTCGCTATCTTTCAACGGTAACGCGGAGTTCGAACCAAGGTTCTGTCGATGACCTCAAACGGGAAAGGTTACAGATGTAGACGACCTTCTATTCCCTCTCGGCGCAAAGGCGTCTTGAAGCAAGATAACGAATAGAAAGGAGAACTATCGTGTGTTACCTAGGCGGAATTTGGAAGCGACTGGAGCCGTTGGAGCGAATTTACGGCCGTTTTCCTTCGGTGGATCCGTCGGGCCGCTTCGCTAGAGTCCCCAACCTTTTTATATAAAACCCCATAAATTGGCCATAAATCGGCCCCTGGACCACACAGGAGACATGTAACACACCTTTTAAGTAAGGTAAGATGTTTTCTATTGAAATTGTTTCATTTTCGTAGGTTACAGAAACGATAGGTTTTTTTCCTTTACAAATCTTTACATTTTGAATGTTACGCAACAATGCCGATGTTCGCCGATGCTCAAATTTCGAGCTTGGGCTACCTGTCAACTAATTACCAGATATACTTGAACAGGCCTTTTGCGATAGTCAGTCACGTGATGAATTTTCTGTAAACATGAAAACAGATCGCTTTTGGAAAATTTTGTTAGCAGTAAGTGAAAGAGCATATTAAAATTAAATAACCTTTGAATCTCAAAAGGTGGATTTGTATGAGAAAAATCATGTTATTGCCACCCAGTCACGCCTGAGTGGTGTCCTATACAAATCCTTGTAAATTTCGACATTTTTTAACTGTCGTTAAATCTTTCCCTTACGCATTTAAAGGCTCAAATTGCTTCCAATGAATATTTTACAACAGTTTGAAAATGTCCAAATTTACAAGGGTTTGTATGGAAAACCACTTTAAAAAAAAAAGGTTTTTGGTACCAGAAATTCCATGATGATGTGGACTAGAACCAACACCCCCATCTCGTCTGCTACACACATTGGCTTTGAGGGCAATGACTCCTGCAACTGGGACTTTTGTACTTTTCCAACTGCGATGAAGAACTTGTCAGAAGCTAGGACTATTGCTATTTTTTTTAGACTTGCCTTTAAGGAGGCAGCAAGAGTCTTTTGTAGTTTCCCATTTTAACATGACTACGTAAAGCGACAGAGGTAGCGAGGGAAAAAGTGATCAAATCAAATTGTACTGTTCTAAGTACCAAAGGATTGGAAAGTGTTACCCACTTACAGAGACGTATTTTTCCCCAGGAGTCGCTTTGAGGGATTCAATTTGTGCTGCTGAATCATGTACCTGTTCTTCAAATAACGAGTGTTTCCGTCCACCCACAAAGTGTGAATGTCCCTGTACCTCTCCAATCAAATTTGAATATTGCCAAAGTCAGTTCCCAAACAGCAGGTGAGTTTTGACTCCCCAGCAGGCCACTAATGCATTAGTACATAATTTAAGTTCAAATGAAATAAAAAAATTACACACAACAACATACATACATTGCATGCAAAATGGACTCAACCGTATTATTTTGTAAAAGTTACAATTAATTCTTCTAACAGTACAATCAATTTAACAGGGGCCACTTAAACAAAACTTTGTGTAGCATAGATTTGTTTTTACGTCTGTTCATTTGCCTTTGTTGCCATCTTATTGTCTTTCAGTCTTCTGATCTGCCCGGCTCTAGCACCTAAGTCACAAAACACAAGCAATCCCAGCCTACTCCACTCTGGAAAGACGTGTCATGACCCTAATCTATCGTTAGACAAGTGCTTTGATCCTCACTGCAGTGAAAGAAACAGCTCTCAGACGTGCGAGGGAATAGTCAGCTGTTACTGGTGTGTGTACAATAAAGACAACGTCCCCTTAAAGAAGCCGTATTGTGCAAGTGCCGATGTCTGCTTTAGAGGAAAAGAAGGTTAGAGGATACTAAGTCCTTTTCCGATGCTTTTAACACTTAAAGAATAACCAATTAACGATGTGATTGAAATCTTCGAAAAAAATAGGGATCACCTTCGCACCAAATGTCTACCTTATCTGTTTTACCTGATTCATTGAAAAACAACAACAGACGGCTCAACGCAGTTAAAGAATTCAATACTTTTATTCATAATATTAATGTCTTGGATGATAGAGGCAAGCCATGCTGGAGACTAATGGGCAATTATGAATTAATCAGAAAAGCATTGTGCGCTTCATCTTGCCCGCTCGCAGGTGCAGGCATAAAATTAGAAATAAGAATGAACGTCGCCACGACCACCTCCTATTATTCTGTCTGTTGTAGATATAATCTTAATTGACCTTATTAACTTTCTTCTATTTTACAACAGCCCAACTGATGCCACTCTGTGTCGTTCCTACCAAGTCAAAAAAGGAAAATTTAGTTTCAAGCGGGAATTGGTTTGGCAAAAATTATGCTGGTGCGTTGGCCGGGATAACTGTTGTTGGTGTTGTCATTATAGTAGCACTTTCTCTTTTGGTAAGCATTTACAGTCCCTTCCATTCTGTGTATTGATTCATGTCTTAGTTCAGGGAATCTCAAAGTTGGTTCCCCTCGTCGAAACTTTGCACTTGCCTGAGCACTTTGACTCACTTTTATTTCGCGTTTTTGAGTGAGACACACTTTATTTCTTTGTCAATGTTATTTAACATGTCCCTGAATTTTATCAAACAACTTAATCAACAATGTCCAAATAAACAGAAACACAACTGATTATGGAAACAGTAACAATACAGGGGCACCCAACGACAATTTTCGGAAGAATATCTGTTCGGAAGACGATGTGAGATCTAGAATTTTCGAAACATTTGTTGTAAAATTTCTTGCTTGCCTGCCTCTCCTAGGCTTTTCGAACATCCAAAAAATGGTATATTTGCCTATTTTTAACGGATTTTTACCCTAAAAAGGTCACCTAGAATTTTCGGAAACCTTTTTTCTTGCTGAAATTTCGAAAAGTTGAGTTTTGATCCCTATAATTTTCGCATCACTAGACTTTCAGCTAGGAAATCCGAACAGATGAAAAATTTTTAGGGAATAAAAATATGCCTATATCTACCGTTTAAGTACTAAAATATGTTTAACAATGCTATGTTTAAGTGGTTTTGAAATATATTCTCGTTGGGTGCCCCTGACAATATTCCTTTCCCTGCGACCTGGAAGGCTTTCATGTGTATAAAGAGATATGGAAACCTAAGGTTGGAGACGTTCTTTCCAGCATCCATGAAAGAAACAACCAACATCGAATGTTACACTTGGTCATTTCCCACGTGAGATCAGCCGTTTTACAAGATTTCTTATTTCGAGGCGCAGATGTCTTCGTGACCGTAAAGGACGCGCGCTTTCGACAATCACCACTCATAAAAGGAGGCTTGGAGATTCCTGTAGAGGCGACAGTAAGAATGAAGGCATCTACGGAGAACGTTGAAGCAATTGAAAGGCTTAAGCAACTAGTGGAACAGCAATACAAGGAGCCAGTAAGTGGACAGTATGAGGATTGTACAAAAGAAGTGCTACCTGGAGTGGAGACGGAAAGCAGTAGTGATGAAGAGGACCAGAACATTACCACAGAATAGTTCAAAATGATTGTTATAAACGTCTGTAGTGGTAATAAAGTCGCTTTTTTGATTATTGACATAATGTGAGTCACTTAACTTTAACGTCATGTTATTTTCGGGACATTTAATTTTCGCATCACTTAAATTTCGCGATTTTTTTTAAATCGCGAAATTCGCGAAATTAACGTGTCGCGAAAATTTCATATAATAAGGTAATTTAGAGCTTTTCCGAAACGTGTGGGTTCACGATTTCTATCGCTTCAAAGCGTTATTTACTTTTGGAACAAGTGGACACTACTGAGTGGTCGAAAAAAAAAACAAAAATCTTAATTAGTAAAACTGTGCTGGTCTGGTGTTATAAACTTTCATTGACTGCAAATGGATCTCGTGATAAGCATGCGGTTTATTTTCGGCGATGATTGAAATGACGTGCCATTTAAATCGCTTTTTTTGATCTCTGGCAAAGATGTAATTTTTCTGGAATCGAGGCCCTTGAATTTTCGTGTATTTATACACGCGTATAGCCTGCCACAGAAGAAGCATTTCCGGTCGTCGCTAACAAGCGCACTAAATCAATTCAGAAACAAATAAAAAGTATCGACGCCGATAAAGTATGAAGTAAAAAACCTTTAGAGCGTAAATCCTGTTTCGTGTAGAATTAATCGCCTCCTCTTTTTTCCGATCCAATCTCCAAACAAGCGAGACTGAAGGTCGCTGTAAGAGCGTTCTTGTTTAAGCATAAAACAGACTGGAGTATAAGTACTCCATTCGCTGACAAGATCTCAGTCCCTCGCAGGGTTACCTCAAACAAGTATGTCCTAGTACACTTGTTATACACCTGGGTTGGAGGGAGACATAAGAATAGTGCCAAGTCTCGTGTCTAGGGGATTACAACGCTATGACAAGGCTTCAACGGGTCTACATATTCCGTTACAATAATTTGAGATGGCATGAAATTGATAATATATGGATCTAGCCAGGGCTAAAAGCGAAGCTCCCATTAATAAATTTATCATTTAAATCAAACAATAAATTTGTATTCCACAAATCAGTTAACTTTAGAGCACATTCATGTGAATTTGAGGGAAAGGCCAAGTGATTTTAGAGAAAAGTGATTTGCAAATAGTCCATCGAATTGATAGTCTTATATGTACATACAATTAAAATCGCGATCATCTTCGATCACATTTAAGAACCCTAATGGCTCTTGATCACAGTAGACTAGGTCTGGAAAACAAATTCTTGGAAAAAAAAAATCAGGCCAAATTTTTGGCGTTTGACAAGTTTTAAACTTTACAGAATCCTGCCAACAAATCTGGGGGCGTGTAAATCAACTTTTTTATACTTTTTATACATCAAATCTGAGGTGAACCAGTACTATGAGGCGCTGTTTTTATCGTACAGACATCGGACAGAATGCAGTAGTTCACAGTTTTGCAATACAAATTGTACTGATTTAACATTCAGAGAGATCGAAGCACGCGTGGACTTTCAGCGAAGCCTTTAAAAAAAATTTCAAAATCACTTATATGGCAAGCCGATTCTCACTTTTGACGAGCGCCAAATTTGCAGAGAGAGCTGAGTGTTTGAATGAACATTAATAGAATTACGCTTCAACATAATAAAGAACTTATTATGTTTGTTTTTTATTCAATGGTTTTAGACCGTTTGATACGCGCGGCATTTTGAGTTCTCCTGCAAGCAATGTTCATGAACGACTGAAAACAAACGGTAAGAGAGACTACTAACAATCAATAAAAGAAATATAATTCGGTAAAACATATACAGAGACAACAATTTTCATTCACGAATACAAGTATTAAAGTGTCTCTAAAAATCCTGCGTCTTCAAGCTTAAAGCTTAAGTTTATGTTTTAAGCCTGCTTCCCGGTATTTGCTATTTTCAAAGATGAACTCGAGGCAAGAAACGGCTAACGGCTTTTTAAAGTTCTGTAAGCTTATATAAACCTTGATCGGTCAGATCTCTCAAATGTTACAAACGTGCATAAACTAAATAGCCGCATCAACCACGCTCGACTTCATTAAATTAGATATAGATCATATAGAAAACAAACATCAAAGACAATAATTACTCAGGCTTACCATTCGATCGAGATGCAGCTCCTGAAAGCTATCAAGTAAGGCCAGAATCGCTTCATACTTTTCAACCCTCTTAAGCATCAAGCAAGGCGAAAAACGAAAACGATGCCATCTGAAATCGGATTTCCGACTTTGACAAGCAACGCATTTCTCAACCAGATACCCAATAAACAAACTAGCCATGAATAACAGAAGACTCTTGATAGAAGCTGAATTTCATTTGGTACTCCCAGTAGAAAAAGACAGCTAAAAACATCACAAGTTGACACAAACTCTCTCAGCGTCAGCTGTCAAAGTAAACAAGTCTCAAGATGCATGCTGCATAAAAGTTTGCGCGTGAACTCACCTGTCAAATTTTGACCAATAAGAGCATAAAAATTGAACGTAGAGCGTGACCAACGCGTGACCATGGCGAGAAGTTAAAAGCAACTGTCTTCCCTGCCTGTAATAGCTGCCTGAATTTTCGTATCCGAGGTCACTTTGAATTCAAAATTTTAATTGTGTGGCACATAAACACAACATATTTTATATGAATTTAAGAAAATAAACTTGAGCCTGCGATCATTTGAAGACTAGTAACTTGTCAGCGGATAACTACCAAATTTTCTGGGATGTGTAGATTTACTTAGCTATGGAGCTCCGCTATAATATTCCCGTTTCAATACATTTTTAAGGGATCATCAGCACCAAGTATACTAGGGCTGCAACGGTACGCCGATATAAGATAAAGGAATAGACGCATGCGCACTTATTTGTCACTTGTCAGCTAAGCAGTCCTGTGCGCCCACGAACAAACCACCGTGCATAGCAACGTATCTTTACGTGTACCTTAGCTCGCATCACGAACTGTATAGCCTCTTGTGAAAATGAATCGTTTTAGCCCGAAAATATGCAAGATAACCTGCTCAAGTACTTTAGAAACCTTACTGAACAGGTCTTCCCTACAGTTACCCCTTTTGCCACAATCAATAATTTCCCAGACATTTAAATAGCTGAATCGCTCTGTAGATAAATCAAATAATACATAGCACTTTCATTTCCGTTTGTTCGTTTCTTTAATAATCTTTGTTTATTCTTTCATTCTTTTATGCTTTAAAGGCGATATGGCAAAGAAGACGCAGATTAAGGAAACGTTTCTCTAACGACAAGAAAAGTAGCTTGTCCACAGAGAATATAATTGATGCTAAAAATGAAGTTCTCCGTCAGCGTCCTCGCGCACCAACCCCTACTTTGTCAGTGGAATATGAAGATCCCGATGTTCTAGAAATGTCTCAAGAAGGTTCTGTAGTTCCATCACGTGATAACGACGCAATGATTTCCACGCAGGAGGGACGATCACCCCTTCCCTCTGAGTGCAGGTCAGCAACTGACCCAAGTGAAAGTTCAGCATCTCCGGCTCAGTTGCATCCAGAACGAAATATGAATGTGAGTAAACATCCAAGGGCCACATCACAAGAGGTTTCAAACGATGTAGAGCCAGACACCAGGGAAGCCCAGACAATAGAGAAGCCTTTCGGTCAGGCCTCAAATCGGCGTTTCAGGAAGGAACCTGTTACAAGCCCACTGCAAACCTTACAACTAAGAAACATGTTGGACGATACCCCTTTGCAACAAAACAATATTTCATTAACTGACAAAGAATCGTTTGAATTTCCTGGAAACCAAGGGCAGCCTGTTTTGATAACTTCTTTTGATGACGTAGAACCAAAGTACTTAAATAGTAACAGGTCAGAATACAGTAATATACCTCCTCCTGTTCCAGAACAACGGAACGATTCTGGTGCATATGTGTCACCATTGACATTACAGTCCTTTAGCAGATCAGTACCAGAAAGGAATAGTACTTCTGGAAAAACTGATGACCATGGCTACGTGGTATGCTTCCTCTAAACTTCGGTACCAATAATATTCCTCCCAGCGATAAACATAACCTGTGGAAAATAGGATCCCGCAGTTGCAAGGAGCATATGTTTCATTTTGAAACTATGTTGCAGTACGTGGGACATTTTACTCTATGCTGCTCTCCGAGCGTTAGACAAAAGTGACACTTTTTAAATTAGCTCTCAGAATGTTTTGGTAACCATCTTTTAGTGGATACGTGTAATTGGACTGAGCGAGTACAATTCAGGGAGTAAGCCGATTTGAAATTACGAACCCGATTACCTCCGAATTGTATGACAGGAATTCCTATTACCAATTAATTGTGTCACTAACAAAATGTGAAAACCTCAGTGTTGAAGTATTTATTAATGTAAGAGAAAGATTCCATTTGGCAAAAAAATGATCGGTTACAACTTTGGTTGAAATTATTGGAATGTGGAAGCCCAACCGCATGATGTATTTTTTTTGTATTTAACAAGCACTCAAAGCCTAAAGAAACAATATCTTAATAAAAGTCACTGGACTAGTTAGTTTCATCCAGTTTCCAGTTGAAGATCATGGACAGCTTACCGGGCCACTATTTTTTCATTGATTGTGATTGGTTATCATGTGCTATGCAGCTAAATTTCATTGGCTAGTGGCATTTAATACTTGATTTTCATTGGTTCTTTCCGATTACTAGCTTCTGGTAATCGGACAGGTCAAATAGGACAGGTTTGGAGTTACAATTGAAATTAAGCTATAAATATGGGCTGTTAAGAACCAATCAGATTCAAGCATTTTGTCATTGACACAATTAGTATAAAATAATCAATATTAGCAATTCTCTTCGGGCCGGAATTGCAGCTGGTTATGATAACATCCCAATTGGTATTGTTAAGGAGACAATTGACTTAATAATGGTTTCTGATCCTTTTGCCTACCTGACAAGCTTAAAATAGCGCGCGTAATCCGATATTTAAGACTGGTTATAAAAGTAGTTTTAGTAATCATAGACCCGTGTTCGTTCTATCTATATTTTTCAAGTTATTTGAAAGTGTAATATATAGCCGTCCTCTAAACTTTTTAAATACTTGGTATCTTGTCTAAAAACCGGTTCGGATTTAGGAAAAACCACTCGGCCTCTCTAGCACTTATCCAGTTATATGACAAAATTTCTTCAGCTATTGATAATGGAGAATATACTGTCGGCATTTTCCTTGACCTTTCCAAGGCTTTTGATACAATTAATCTAAAATTCTATTAGGAAAAGGCAAACATTATGGAGTCCGCGGGACTGCTTAGATTGGTTTAAAAGTTATCTTTTCAGCAGAAAACAATTTGTTCAATACGAAGGTCAATTATTAGGTGTTATCATTTACCTTTACAAATATGCTTTGCGTACATCCCAATTTATTACCCGTGACTAAGTTAGCGAACGAACAACTCGGAGTAGCCAAAAGCTAAACATCCCTCTTTTCAGAACAGCCTCCGGACAGAGAACCTTTTATTACAGGACTGTTAAGCTTTCGAACAATTTAGAATCTTTTCTTAAATTAAGCCCATCTGAAAAACTTTTTAAACGTTCCTTAAGGAGCCAGCTTTTAGATAATTTTGTCAAATACTTCTTAGTTAAGTTTAAAAACATTGTAATTAGTAATTAGCTAACATTGTAATTGGTATTAGGTTAAGTTTTATAATTAGTTATTAAAAAAATGTAATATATATAATCATTGTTCCTGAAAAGCCCCTTTGGGGAGGTAACAATAAAGTATGTATGCGTGTATGTGTGTATGCATGTATGTAATTCTAGGTACACTCTATTTCTCCTTTATTCATCCCTATTTGCAGTATTGCGTAAGTGTGTGGGGATCGACCTATCCTACTAATTATTCATAGTGAAACGCCCCGAACTGCTGCAAAAACGAGCTATGAGAGTCATCAGCAAATCTTGTTATGGTGCTCATATAGACCCAATATTCAAGAATCTTTGTATCTTACCGCTAAATGATATGTATCTAGCAGAAATAGGTAAAATAATGTTTCAATATAATACTGGGTCGTTACCTTTTAAATGTATGCGTTTTATCTCTTTTTTTTTTTATTGTACCTTTTTCCTTCGTATTATTGTTTCTCAAAACGTTTACCGTTCAGTTAAATTACCATTACGTTTATCTTAAATTTGTAATTTAATAGGGAAAGCCCTCGTTGTATAAGCCTCATTGTTCTTTGGGCTTTCTTGCTATATAATCCAACTGATTCCTGTAATTTATTACTGTTATAATAAGGTGGCGAAATAGCATGTGCATAGAGTTCAACTTATGTCACAGCGTGTAATTCTATCTTTTTCGAACGTTTTGGTGTCATGGAAAGTCGAAAACGCATCAAAACGGTGGTGTAGACGCGGATCGATCGATGCGTTTTTTGTACGACAACGAAAACGCACTAGTGTCAACAGGGCCTAAATTGTACAGCATGCATTGCTTGAGACCCCTGTGTTTGCCAATTTTTGCAGTTTGGACTTTCAGTTTTTTAAACAAATTTCAAGCGAAGTTCATAAGTTTGTTCTAAAAATTTATGTTACTTGTTACATTCCAATGACGATACAATCAGAATTATCGTTGCATACTCTTTGAGTTGGTGTTTTTAGTTGCAGCTATAGTTTTCCCTCAAAGGATTCAGTACCCAAATATTAATAGCAAGTAGACAGAATTGTTGCGTGGGGTCTATACTGGGCCCACTGCTGTACCTTGTCTATACTGCGCCGATTGCAGATATCATCAAAAACATGACTTGCTATACCATCTGTACGCTGATGACACGCAACTATATATTTCCTGCAATACTGATTGTTGTGCTGATGCAAAGTTGCGTGTTGAACGCTGTGTTGAATGTGGATGGATGTCTAAAAAACCCCGGAGTAGCCAATCGATAAAACTCGGTATCGATTTATCAATCGATAAATCGGTAAATCTGTAAAAAAAATCGAAAAATCGGTAAATCTGATTTTATTAATATCGATCGCATCGATCAATCGGTAGAAATCGATGACACACTCGTTTCGTTTATCGGTTTATGTAGATTTTACCGATTCCATCGATTTATATCGGAAGGTACATCATTCTGTTCTTCTGTTCATTCACAAGAAAAAATGATTTCATGCAAACAGTGAATTTGTTGACAATTGAGCTGCCATTAAGTGTCGAAGGATCAAACAATGTATTATAACTTGAAAAAAAAGCTTTAAAAAATCTCATCTTTTCTTTAAGACCCACTTTAAAGTCTTCTTTTGATGGCCAATATTGGCCAGGTTTGTACTAGAAGCGCGCAGTTTTTTCACGATTTAGATCTGCCACCCTTTCTAAATAACTTCAGTTCCTCGTGTACTTACTTTCCGAAGTAGCCGTTAAATAAAATTCTAAATCGATAAGAATCGTTAGCGATCAAGTGATTTTATCGATCGATAACGGAAAACGGTGAAAAGGTATTTAGGGAAATCTTTTAGCCTGAATTTCAGGCATCCCTTCGACTCTTTAGAGGATGTCTGAGATTCGGGTGGGAATCTTTTATGTAAGGTTGTATTTCTCGTGGTACTGACTTACCTGCAAGAACTGCGAAAGTATCTAAATTGAACCTTTTTTGTTATTATCTACAAAGGGTCACGGTTCTAGAGAGAATCTCGCGTCTGTAATGGTTTCCACATTTCTTTTCATGTTTGCTGATCAGTTGTTACTCGTGGATGTGTTTTCTCAGCTGTAATATTTAACTTATGCCAAAAAACAACAATGTCGGACTTACCGTTATAAATCGTTAAAATCACGAAAAATCGATAATATCGATTTGACACAGCAATTTAAGTTATCGATTTTCACCGATTTCCGTTATCGATCGATACAAAACACTTGATTGCTATAGATTTTTATCGATACCGATTTTTATCGATTGGCTACTCCGGAAAAAAACCTATTGAAACAACTGAACTTGTCGTCAATAGCTCCAAATTTCGAAATAGACCAAATCTTACATATGTTCGGGTTGGAGATGAGTTCATTACTCCTAAGTTGTCTATACGTAACCTAGGAGTCATCATAGACAATTGATTTTGCATGGAACAACATGTAAAAAAGGTATATAGTGAGGCAGATTATCATCTCGGGGGGAATATATCAAAGATTCGGTTATATCTCACCCAGGACTCTGCTCAAATTCTCATTCGTGCTTATGTTAGTTCTAAGATTGACTACTGTAAGATCCTGTAACTCACTTCTACATGGTATTCCAAAATACTTAGTTTGTACATTACAGCGTGTTCAGAATACGGCAGCTCGCATTGTTACGTCAACAAGGAAGTATGATTCGATTACCCCAATAATGTTCAAAATACACTGGCTCCCCCTACATTCACGTATTATTTTTAAGCTCCTGTTAATAGTGTATGAAGCACTCAATGGCAAAGCACCCTCTTATATTTCTAGTCTCCTGAGCCATCGTACGTGCTCTTGGTCTTTACGCTCCAGTGGGCAAGAGCTACTCACTGAGCCACTGGTTAAACTAAAGACTTATGGAGATCGGGCGTTGCTGCGCCAAGGCAATGGCTTCTGACTTGCCTCCTAGCGTTCGTAAATCTCCATCAATCGCTATTTTTAAAAGACACTTAAGAGCGACTTTCTGTAAATACCACGGATAGGTGTGCAAGATGGAAAAATCGAAATCCCCCAAACTTTGTCCCAACAAAGCCCTTTGGAAACTATTTTAGAAAATACAAGACTCAGTTCGTTTGACTCAATATTTTCCAAAATAATAATTTTTTTTAATTTTCACCTTCGAGAGGCCTTCAAACCACCGAAAAATGTGCTTGATACCCTCGCTTCGTGAATGGAAACGGAAACTAATACCATAACTTTTCTTACATTAAACAATTTTATGATCCTTCCTTTCTACCTAAACGTTGTTACAATTTCAAAAGATTTCAATCTGATTTTTTAATATTTTTTCAAAATTACCCTCTAAATCAGCATTATCGCAACCAT